AGTTCCCATAGGTTTGTATGCCCTGTATATCAGGACTTGGGATTTTTGTGGAACAGACTGTGGAAGACTGGAGGAAGCATTAAACTTTGAAAGAATCTATCATGAGAGAAGTGTAGGGGGGCTCTCATTGCTATTCTTAAAATTCTAGTTGCTTGGTTGAATGTGGTTTCAGGTCTTTTTGAGTCAAAGACCTGTAACATGCATAACGTATGTCAGTAAAGTGTCAGAATTTCTTATCTCTATACATGTTCCTTCAAATCCAATAAAGCTGCATGACAGCCAGGGAACTAACCTTCTCTAAAGGAGAGGTGAGCAGTTGCATCTACTATATTTCTATGCTGAAAGATTCACTTTAAACTGGACTCAGCACAGCACTGAGTGGGGAATAAAAGTGGCTACAAACATAGTATTAACATTGCCCAGTCTAGAAATTTTCAGTTGGATCTTTCATTGTGTCTATGGCTAACCTTCAGATTCTGCAAGAAACCCTGGGCGAAGAGAACTCAGATCACATGCAACGGGTAACCAGAGGCAACTCTAGGCTTTGTGAGGGCTCAGCAAAATGTAGGCATGATGCCCAACTCACACCCATAATGTGAAAAATGATTCAAGTGATAACAATGAACTGGGGGCTGGGTAAGGTAACCATTGGCGGTTCAGGAGTGGGGCTAGTAGGACAGGGTACAAGGGCTCAGGAGCATACACTACATGAAGGGGAAGCCAGGCATATTACATGGAAGCAGGGAACATTATGTGGGAACACAGCACATTACACAAAAGTAGGGCACAATACAGGAGGGCAATGCACATTATGTGGGAGCAGAGCACATTACATGGAGGCAGGGAACATTATGCGGGTACAGGGAACATTACACAAAAGTAGGGCACATTATAGGAGAGCAATGCACATTATGTGGGAGCAGAGCACATTACAAGGAGGCAGGAAACATTATGTGGGTACAGGGCACATTACACAAGAGCAGGGCACATTACATGGAGGCAGGGCACATTACATGGGACAGAGCATATTACAAGGGACCGAGCACAGCATGGGACAGAGCACATTACAAGGAACAGAGAATAGGGCAAATTAAATAGGACAGAGTACAGAGAACATTGTATGGGACAGAGCGTATTACATAAGACAGGGCACATTTCATGGGACAGGGCATATTTCAAGGGACAGAGCACAAGGCACATTACAAGGGACAGTGCACATTACAAGGGACAGTGCACATTACAAGGGACAGGGCACATTACAAGGGACAGGGCACATTACTTGGGAAAGAGCACATTACATGGGACAGGGCACAGGGCACATTACATGGGAAAGAGTACAGGGCACATAGCATGGGACAGGGCAAATTACATGGGACAAAGCACAGGGCATAGTACATGGGACAAAGCACAGGGCACATTACATGGGGCAGAGCAAAAAACCGCATAACATGGGACAAAGCACTTTACTTGGGCCAGGCCACATTACATGGGACAGGGCACATTACATGGGGCAGGGCACATTACATGGGAAAGAGCACATTATATGAGACAGAGCACAGGGCACACATTACATGGGACAGAGTACAGGGCACATAGCATGGGACAGGGCACATTACATGGGACAAAGCACAGGGCATATTACATGGGACAAAGCACAGGGCACATTACATGGGACAAAGCACAGGGCACATTACATGGGGCAGAGCAAAGACCGCATAACATGGGACAAAGCACTTTACTTGGGCCAGGCCACATTACATGGGACAGGGCACATTACATGAAACAGGGCGCAGAGCACATTACATGGGACAGAGCACATTACATGGAACAGGACAGAGGCATAACTAGAACCTTCATGGCCCCGGTGCAATAAACCATGAAGGGTCCCCCTGACCCCCCTTCCATCCGAGCCCAGGGCCCTTTACTCCCATCACGGGGCTCTTTATCACGGTCCCACGGTGGGACCCTCTCACATGTTCTGCAGTGGGCCCCCTTTCTACTGTCTTGGGTAGGTTTGCCACCTTTTCTTCAAGCCAAACCCAGGCACTTTAGCAGTACAACGAAATGTTTTTTGTGTAGTATACGCTATACATATATTTTGTGATAAAATAATATTTCTAATCATATGGATTTAATCACAAGAGGCCTCCCTTACATCAGAGCCCACAGAGTTCCTCCTTTACATTTGAATCCACAGAGTTCCCCTTTACATCTGAACACTCAGAATTCCCCTTTACATCTGAACTCACAGAGTTCCCTGACACTGTAAGGGGGGCTCTCCAGATTCTGATATAAGGGAGAACTTTGGGGACTCTAATTTAAGGGGAAAACTGAGAACTTTAATGTATGGAGGGAACTCTGATATGAGGGGAAATTCTGCAGACTCTGGTAACCGGAGCCCCCATTTACATCACAGTTCCCAGCATTCCCCTTTGATCAGGGTTCTCAGAGGCCCCCTTATATCAGAGTCTGCAGAGTTCTCCCTTACATCGGAGTCCACAGAGTCCCCCTAACATCATAATCTGCAAAGCCCTCCTAACATCGGAGTCCGCAGAGCTCTCCCTTACATCAGAGTCCACAGAGTTCTACTTATATCAGAGTCCGCAGAATTTCCATTTACACTGTAAGGGGGATCTCTGTGGACTCTGGAATGTAAAGGGAAACTCTGCTGTAAGGGGTGCTCTAGGAACCCTGATTTAACTTCTTTCCGCTCGCACCATAGCTAAAAGATGGCAACAGCGTGGGCTTCCAGTTCTGAGAGGACGTCCATGGACCTCTTCCCAGAACCCCGCCTCCTGCGCGCCCCCTGGGGCACGCATCCAGTGCACTTTGTGACTGCTGTGTCATTTGGACATAGCTGATCACAGATCATGGTAAAGGGTCATTCACAGTGGCCCTTTACCATGTGAGCAGCTGATCACATGTAAATAGACCTGCCAGTTATCGGCAGTCCTTTCCTCCTATGCTGTGTCTGTGAGGAAGGAGAGTCATTAACCGGCAAGATTGTCAGTACATTGTTTACACTGATAATCAGGGCACTGATCATCAGTGCCCTGATTATCAGTACAGCCCCATCAGTGGTCATCAGTGCAGCCTATCAGTGCTACCTATCAGGGCTCATCAATGCCGCCTATCAGTGCCACCTATTACTGCTCATAAATGCAGCCTATCAGTGCCCATCAGTGCCGCCTTTCAGTACGGCCTATCAGTGCCTCTTCAGCAGGAGGCAAGCGTCTCTCTCATACAGCCCAGAGCCTACACTGACAGTTCCCCCCTCGTCCTCCCTTGCACGGATGAGAGAGGAGAGTGAGAGACAATCTGCTCCTTATCCTCCCGCCCCACTCCTCCTGTGTGTGCACTGGTAGTTCCAGCACTGGGACAGGGCACAGAGCACATTACATGGAACAGGGAACATTACATTGAACAGGGCACAGGACACAATACATGGGACAGAGCACTTTATATGGGACTGGGTGCATTACATAGGACAGGGCACGTTACATGGGACAGATCACTTTAGAGGGGACAGAGCACATTACATGGGTCAGGGCACATTACATGGGTCAGGGCACATTACATGGGACAGGGCACATTATATGGAACAGACTGTTAGGCACAGTGTGGGGGACATAGCTGGGAACACTACTGTACCAGCTTCCTTCTTCTTCTACCCAGCTTCAGAGGTGGCTTTCAACAGTCCTCTAGTGGTGCACTGTTCCCCGCTGGCACTCCTTCCCTCCTCCTATCTTGTCCATCCCAGATGATGTCACATACAAGCACCCGGGATGGACAGGAGGGGAGGAGGGGTGGACGGGGAACATTGCACTACAACCAATAGTATGCCAGCCGTTTCTCTGCACCCGTGTCCATACAATCTACCTGTCAGCTGCCTGCGACTGACAGGTAGATCTCTGCGTAACCCCAGTTGAGAAAAACTGCATTAGGCAAAATAAGCAGCTGTAAGGCCCCTGTAAGCGCGAGGCCTTAGGCGACCGCCCAATTTGCCTAATTAAAGAGGTAATTTTAGTGGACTGCTGTTGTTTCACCCTGATGTGTGCTTGGGTGATAAAAGTGCATATTTCGGCACCTCCATTTAAAAATAAAATCTTTCTGGGCAGTCAAACTGTTACTGCACATAAGGCTGGTCTTTTATATCCATGGGCACATTTAGTGGACAGCACAGGTCTGCATTTTCCCAGTTCATTTTTCAGAACAAGCTTTTAGGGATCTATCCCCTTCTTCTAGGTCCAAGCAATACTGATACTTACTGTAAAGCTTTACTGTAGTTGCACTACTTGGAACTAGAAGAAAGGGGTAGACCCCTGAAAGCTTGTCCTGAAAAAGTAACTGTGAATACAAATAAACAAGTTTATTGGACAGTGCTTAAATGTGCACTAATATGACTATAGTCACCTTACATAAAAGCCCCTAAAGGACAACTGTGCCTTTGGTACAACTGTCCTTTAAATACTTCCCCCCCTCCTGACAGAATCTAACGCTTACCTTGGCCCACATTCCAATGATCTTCACTGTATGTGAGCAATGGCCCTTTTTACTCCATCTCATACTCATGGCCGCCAACAGTGGTCCCTCAAAGTACTGCTGTCTCCATAGGAATGAATGGGTGCTCATGCTCAGGATGAGGACACTCTTAGGAGAAAGTTTGAGCAGCTCTAGTTAGAGCGACATTGTAAATATTGCTGGAATGGGCGCCAAGGTAACTGTTAGACAGGGTCATCAGCACTCAGGTTGTGTGTGTGCAGGGGAAGGGTATTAAGAGGACAACTGTACCAAAGGTACACTTGTTCTTTAAAAATGTTCCTGTGTTTTACTCATTTACTAAAATAAACTGTAATATTTGAAAGCACACAAACTGGTGTCAATACAACTTAAATAGAGTACATAAAAGCTGTGGGTCACCATCACTTACAACAGCATATTCATAAGTATAACTACACGATGAATCTAACAACTTTAACTTAAGATTTCCACCCACCCAATCACTGTGATGGGGTCCTGAAAAAAGCTGCTTGGTGTCTGTGGGTTCTCCATTTGCGTTTGTCCCATCGGCAAAGTAGGAGCATCTTGAAGGTACGCCTGAAGGAGCGATTGCAGAGTGCATAACACATTGGGTTGACAGTACTGTTCACATAGCATAGCCAGTAACCCAACTCCCACAGTTTAGTTGGAATGCAGTCCTTGCAGAATGTGGAGACTAGCACCATAATATTATAAGGAGTCCATGTCAAAATAAATGCCAACAATATAGCACTTAATGTCCTTGCTGCCTTTTTTTCTTTAATGAGTGAATTGCTTTTCCTCTTTCCATGTCGGGTTTTCTCAATCTTGGCTTTAATAATAGTTGATGGTAAAGTTGAGGCCTGGGCCTTGGATGGTTTCCTAGATACCTCCTGCTTGCCTCCATTGGCTTCATTTTCAATCTCCCCTCTTCCAAGAGTATCATTAGAACCACGAGAACCTGTAGGTGTCCCAACTACAGAGCTGACCATAGGTAATCGCATGACAACAGTGCAAAGACTTTTCATCTCATAGGGGTTTTCATCTCCATCAGAGGAAGAGGACACCGAATCTGCAGAAGCAGCATCTTCCATGGTATTCCAGCTTCCATTACTTTTATGCTGAGGATAGCTTCTGAGTGATGGACTGGCAGCAAGTCTATTAGGAAAACAACAAGTTCTCCTCACCCTTGGCACAGATGTCTGTGATCTTGGTAACCGTTCTGATTCTCCCATGCCGCTGCTACTGCCACTTCTGACACTGCCCAAGGGCCGGACAATGTTTTCTGTCTCAGAACCCTGTAGGCCTGCCAGTTCCCTGCTTCTGTTCTCTGTCTCTCTATAAATCCTCCAATACAGTATAATCATGATAGTAACTGGTAGATAGAAGGCAGCGATGGCAGTGCCAAATGTAATAGTGGGTTCTGACAAGAACTGAATGTAACATGCATCAGGCTCCACTGTCCTCTCCCCTACAATGTACTGCCAGCATAATATAGCAGGTGCCCACAAGATGAACGAGATAATCCATGCTAATCCAATCATGATGGCAGCTCGTCTTGGTGTTCTCTTAGCCCTGTATGTTAGGGGCCGAGTTATAGAAAAATAACGGTCAAAACTAATAATGAGCAAGTTCATTACAGAAGCATTGCTTGCAACATAATCTAGTGCCAGCCACAGGTCACAGGAAACACTGCCAAGCGCCCAGCGTCCCATTATAATATAGGTGGTATATAAATTCATTGATATTGCACCAATGATGACATCAGCACACGCTAAACTAAGAATGAAATAGTTGTTGACAGTTTTTAGGTCACTGTTCACTTTGAAAGCCAGGAAAACCAGTACATTTCCAACCACTGTAATGAATGAAAGGATTCCTGTTGTAATGACAATTATCACCACCTGCCAGATGGTATGTCCTCCAAATGGGTCACGGTATGGTGGAGCTGTAGAATTTGTGGTCAGCGGGTCGATAGTAGTATTGTTCATGATTAGAAGCCAGGTAGTCACCGTTTCTTGCCCAGCATTCTGATGCAAGGCTAACATGACATGTTCCAAAGAAGCTGGGTTGGGGGTCACTTTTATCCCAGCCTTTTAAATCCACACCACAGCAGTGAAATCCTGAAAGAAGAAGAAAAGCAGAAGTCAGGATGACACAGGGACATAGATTATGAACCGTAAATCTGTAAAACCTTTTAGAAAGAATATGGGAGTTGTCAGTAAACTGTAGGCTTCTATGAGGAGCATGAGGCAGACATATTACAGGGAAGCACACTGAAGAAACTTAAAAATCTACTATGTTCACTTTCATATGTGTAGTGTAACTGTGCAGAGATTTACGGTATTTCACCTGCTTCTTACTCTCATCTTTACTTTCGTTTGCAACTTTGGCTGTATGTCTGTGTGTCTCATTATTACATTCTGTGCTTCTCACCCGCCTCTCTCTTTCTGCTACGTGTGTCTCTGTAATCTGTAACTAAACAAAGCCGGATTTATGATCTCTGTTGTTTGAGTGTTGGAGGAAGGAGTTGTGTTGCTGAAGGAGTCACCCCCACCCTTTGTACCAGGAAAATAGGGGAGACAGAAGTGGTTGGACAGGTTTAGTTTTAACACGTAAAATTATTAAAGAAGGCGGAAGCAAAAGAAAGAGGTAAAAAAAAAACGATGTAGTTAATATGTAGTGCGCAAACCATATGTTGCTGAAAGACCTCCTTTCCTTGGCAGCCACTTCGTAAAACTCCTCCTACCATTTCATCTTTACCTACCTGTGTATTTTTTTACGGCTCCACCTGTCCTCTGTTGTGGCTAATTTTTTTCTAACATCCCAATATCTTTTCAAACCCGAATTTCAGATTACAGCAGAGAATTTACTCTGCTACCTCCAAATATCTATACATCAACCTAACCTTTAAATTAAGGATACTAAGAAATAAGCCAACAAATGCAATCCATGCCAGCAATCTGAGCATCTCTCACAACAATCTCTGGACCAGTTACCACAGATCAATAGCACTTAAAAGTACTTGTATTATAAAGAAAATTGTTCTGATACACTGGGAGATCTCTGAAGTTTATTTCTGACTATTCCCTTCTCTCCATAGAAAAGGGAATACATTGTTTGTAACGTAGCCCATGGGCATGCAGCTGGAGTTAGGATGGGAAGAGCTCTTCTCATCCATCTTCTCAAGGGAGAGCTGCCCCTAATGTCTTCAACAAGCTATCACAAGCAGGTTTCAAAATTTTTGAGAACTCCTTATTCCTGTATGGATTTGCAATGGCATTTATTCCAGTTGTATCTCATTTTATGGTTCCCTCTGAATGTTGTTAATACACTTACTAGCTTGTTGCAAAATGTCTATTACTGCTGTTATGATATTCAAAACTATAAATTGTTCCATTTTCTTTGTTCAAGAATTCATATTTTACCTAAAGTTATTACAAAAAGCATTGTACTATTTTCGTGAGTGTATTGCTAGCATTACTGGGCATTGATTATCTGCCTTTTCAGGTCAACATATGCTTGGCAATTATAACACGAAATGAGATATAGTAATTTAGCTCAAATCAAATAAACTGGCTACAACCAAACCTTAAAAAGTGTTCCTTACTTGGTAACAACATTTTACAAAACTAGTCTTTTTCAGAATCATTTGCAACATGAATTTACCTAGCTTTACCTAATTCTTTAGTGTACATGCAGTGCTTCTCGGGTTGAAATGTACTGGAGATAATATAAAGCCATTTACATTACATATGTTTATACTGTATATGCATTTTATATGATATTTTACAGCTTGATCAATCAGTGCTTTGACAGTGCTTCCGGATGGGACTGCAGGTTCTTGCTATCCATTCTGCCCTTTGCAAAATCCCACTCTGATAACTGACATATCTGCATGCAATGCAGTGTGTAAACTGAAGTGGGGATAAGGCAGGAGCATGAATAATTTACTTCTGACCAAAAAAGACCCCCCTAGGGGCAGTGATGGCGAACCTTTTTGAGCCCGAGTGCCCAAACTGCAACCCAAAACCAACTTATTTCTTTCAAAGTGCCAACACTGCAATGAAACCTGAATATCGAGCTTTTGGTTTAGAAAAAAACAACTCGTACAGTAGTGCAAACTAATTAACAGTACAGGGATGACCAGAGACTGCGGACACAGTACAGGGATGACCAGAGACTGCGGACACAGTACAGGGATGACCAGAGACTGCGGACAGTACAGGGATGACCAGAGACTGCGGACAGTACAGGGATGACCAGAGACTGCGGACACAGTACAGGGATGACCAGAGACTGCGGACACAGTACAGGGATGACCAGAGACTGCAGACACAGTACAGGGATGACCAGAGACTGCAGACACAGTACAGGGATGACCAGAGACTGCAGACACAGTACAGGAGATGACCAGAGACTGCGGACACAGTACAGGAGATGACCAGAGACTGCGGACACAGTACAGGAGATGACCAGAGACTGCGGACACAGTACAGGGATGACCAGAGACTGCGGACACAGTACAGGGATGACCAGAGACTGCGGACACAGTACAGGGATGACCAGAGACTGCGGACACAGTACAGGGATGACCAGAGACTGCGGACACAGTACAGGGATGACCGAGAGACAGGGGACACAGCACAGGGATGACCAGAGACTGGGGACACAGCACAGGGATGACCAGAGACTGGGGACACAGCACAGGGATGACCAGAGACTGGGGACACAGCACAGGGATGACCAGAGACTGGGGACACAGCACAGGGATGACCAGAGACTGGGGACACAGCACAGGGATGACCAGAGACTGGGGACACAGCACAGGGATGACCAGAGACTGGGGACACAGCACAGGGATGACCAGAGACTGGGGACACAGCACAGGGATGACCAGAGACTGGGGACACAGCACAGGGATGACCAGAGACTGGGGACACAGCACAGGGATGACCAGAGACTGGGGACACAGCACAGGGATGACCAGAGACTGGGGACACAGCACAGGGATGACTGCTGACCTTTGGGGAGGGAGGGGGAGCGGGTACCTGAATTTGACAGGTACCCACTCTTACTTCCGCAGAGTTTTTTTTTTTATCTTACCTGTTCCTCGATCCAGCCGCGCGCTGTCTTCCCGGCTTCTGTAGTGTGGGCGCTCGTCGGACAGCCGGATGCCCAGTGCGCATGCGCGAGAAGCGCTGCGCTTTGTGATTGGTCCGGCGGCTTCTGGGATCTGTCATGTGTCCCAGATACCGCCTTACCATTCACAAGGAGCACTGCTTCTTGTGCATGCGCACTTGGGACCCGGCTGTCACGCACACTACAGCCGGGAAGACAGCGCGCCGCTGGATTCTCCTGGCATGCCACACAGATAAGGCTCGGCGTGCCGGCTGTGGCACGCGTGCCACGGGTTCGCCACCACTGCCCTAGGGTTATTTCAATTAGAATCCCTGGTCTAAGGAATCAAGGTTTGGTGATTACCAATTTCTGGCATCCAGAATATGGATCACACAGGCAATATACAATATCAAATAATTCCACAAATAAAACTCTGGTAGGTTGTACACCTTATGTCCTTTTTTGTTGTACCTCAAGCAGAGGCTCACACCCAGAAGCAGCAATCAACCAGTTAAAAGCAGGACTTTTTTTCAGCTGGAATGCGGGGGAACATATGTAATAGTAAAGGGTGCTGGGGTGTGCTGGAGGGTCTATTGATGCTGGCTGCTGGAGGATCTATTGTCACTGATAGGAATCTATTTTTTTGCATGAGGGTCTATTGTTGCTAGGGGGTGGTCTTATGTTGCTGGGGGGTCAGTTGTTGCTGGGAGGGATCTCCTGTTGAGGGAGGAATCTATTGTTGCTGGCTGATGGGAGATCTGTTGTTGCTGCTGGGGGTATATCGTTACTGGTTTGGTATTTTGCTTTGGGGGGGTCTATTGTTGCTGGCTGCAGGGGATCTACTGTATTGTATTGCTTTTCTTGTTATCATTAACGCATTACATACAAATTACTTAGCATTGCAAAATTATACTTTGTTCTGTATACTCTAAAAAGGGCGGTACTGGGAGGTGGGTATGAGGTGACACCAAGGGACAGTGCTTGGAGGTGGGTAGGGGGTGGAGATAAGGGGTTGGCGGGGAATTCCTGCACCTATTCTCTGAGAAAAAAAGCCCTGGTTACAACGCAGATGCTTCATAGCAATACATATATCTGCATTGGATCTGTTTTGCATCTGTACTGGTAATGGATTATCAACTGGCTCTGAGAAGTTCTGGTATAGAACACTCTGTACACAAGGATTTTTTCATGGAGTTGAAAGGGGTCACATTTGTACTCAGACTGGACCTCAGCAATGGCTAGACTGAGCCTTATGGATACCTGTCTGTAGTCATAATATTTATTAAGAGGAGAGTTTTGAATTTTGTAGACCTGTGTAGAAGTTCGTGAGGACAATAATAAAGTTTGTAAGCACATTATGGTACTGATTTCCCTCGTTTGCTTACTAAAGAAAAAACAGATTATAACCTCTCATCTCATACACTTGCAGTGGGCCTAGGACAGATATGTTCATATTCATATTTACTGTTGTAATACAATGTTTATGTATTTTTGTAGAACAACTACATCAGTATAAGTATTCAGTAGAGATATATGTTTGAGCCAGTAGATGGCAGTATTTATAAGTTTGGGGCTGCATCTATGTGAACTCTATGTCTTTTCTCTATAATAAAGATCCTGTTTCCTATTTGCAGAGATTCAGCAGATGAACACATATGGACTGTGCACTGTCTGTTCTGCATTTTCTATGGGACACATGTACTCAATTCCTAACTCTGGGCAAACACTATATGACTTCCAACCCCCTCTAACCCATTCTGCCAGGCGTTTGTGCTTTCTTACCCACTGAAGTAAAATATACTTACCTGAGTCCCCCGATCCAGGTCAATCTTTGATGTCATTTCTGCCTGCAGTGACCACTAGTCTAGTG